CTGATTGTTGCTGCATTCGCATTACTGAAGCAGTGCATCGAAAGCTGCCCCAATGTTGAGCGTATGAAAAACGGCCGTTGGTGTGATTTAATTGAGTTGTTCTGGAAGAGTCAACTGGGTGTGCCGGTGGATTACTTTTCCAACACCAATACACTGCGTCAATTCTTCATGGCTTGGATTCTCTTCAACTACATCATGACCGCCATTTACTTTGCAAAGGTCGAGAGCATTTTTGTGCATCCCTCTTACTATCCAGAAATGGATCGCTTGGATGACTTGGAGACGTTGAATGTGCCCATATTCGGCGTACGAAATATGTTCACTGCCATCAAGCCGGCCCTGAAGCCTCATCATTGGCGTGCCATCGAACAGCGTGCTGTCTACTTGCCCCTAAAATTCTCATCCTTCCAATATGGCGTGCCAATAAGCGAGCGCAAGCATTCACGTGTTGCATTTCTGCTGCGCTCCGAAACCGCTAAAGATTTGCTGGTGAAGACGTACGATGTTGAACGGCGTCGGCCGAGATTCCATGTAATCAAAGAGCGTCTGCTCGCAATGCCACAGACTTATCTCTTGCCGAAGGGCTCTCCATTTGGGTACAAATTTCAGCAGTTTGAGAGTCGAGTTTTCGAAAGTGGCCTCTTCGACTATTGGGCTATGCGTGGCGTGCAGAAGGATAGTGTGCGCTCAGCGAGTTTGGAAGAGTTTCGCAACGATTTGCCGGACGATCTAAATTTCGAGGACAATGATGTCGATGATGACGGTGACGCGGATGATGTGGAGAAAAAGGTGGTGCTAAATTTGAGCATATTGCAAGGTCCATTCTACTTGTGGGGCTTCGGTATGTTGTTTAGCTTTATCGGGTTTGTACTGGAGCATGCATATGCTAATTTTTGGGATGGTAGGTCAAGAGTGATTGTGGTTTGAAGTGAGCTTAAGTTTGGATGGATCTCGTGGCTTAGACTGGAACAACAATGTACGCACTTATAGAGCGATAGGAAATGTTTTCTCGAAGTAGAAATAAATCTCGAATAAAAGCTCAGTCGAAAATAAAAATTTGTTTCTAATCTATGAACTGTTTTAGTAAGTTAACGCGCTCAGGAATAATAGTTTCAAGTTGCGGTGCTCCAAGGCGTACCGATGCTGGGCTCTTTGAGTTTAAATTCCTATGGAGCCTCTTTTCTGGCAAAAATATCTGCGACAAACGATGGTTAGTGGCTCTTCTACCTGCATCCTGGCCGGTGAAATCGTTTCAGAAGAGTACCTTTGAAATATTAGTTTCCTAAAATGTCACTGCAGTCTGGTCCAATTAGAAAATATTCTGGTGCTTTTTGCAAAGCAGTTCACCCTCTTTGGCGCTGGTATCCAGAGTAGATGCGGACCGACCGTGGAGAGTCATTACTGCTCTGTAAACTTTCGAGGGGAAACAATTTTGTGGGAAAGGAATTTAACCTGAGAATTCTCAATAAATCTGTTTAAAAAATGCTGCACCTCAGTCTAGCAAACGCCGAAGACTTACAGAGAATGTGGTCTATACTATCTTGGTAATTAGCCTTACCAGGGCTTGTGACTCCCTTTTCCATGGTTTAAAATGGATTTTCGTGACTGTCCTATCTGACATTTTCACGAAACTTGTGAGTTTTTACAGATATTAGAACGAGTCTTGTTCAAAAGATTCTTGATGTGGGTGGCAGTTCCCGCTATAATTGGCTACGGTTCAATTAGATAATCCAAAGATCAGGCTTCGCGTGATAGGCTATTGTAAGATCTTTATATACAACTTCTAAACAGAAAGACCTATTCGAAAAAGCCCTGCGTAAAGCGCTTATTAAGAATAGTTACGACCAGAACACATACCACGGTAGAGGCTCTTCAATGCTCTCTATAGATTTTATATGGACACTTACAGCGTAAAAGTTTCGCCTGATTTAAAACAGTGACGATCAGTGAGAGGTTTCACCCTGCTGTCGTCCCTTAGGGAGCTTTTGGAAAAAAGTATTTTAGAACTTTCTGAGGATTTTATATTGACCTTTATGGGGTAAAATCTTTCCTGGAAGGATAGAGTTTTTACTCTATATAGACGAAAACTGATAGTCATTGTTCTGAATCAATGATGACAAGAGGAAGCTTTTACTGTGTAAGCGTCCATAAAAAATCGATAGAAAGCTCTAAAAAGCTCTTATCCAAAAGCTTCTAGCAGAAGCTTTCACTCTGCAAGTGTTCATAGTAAGCTTTAAAGAGCTTTTGTCGAAGTGGAAGCTTTCACTCTATAAGTGTCCATATGAAATCTATAGAAAGCTCCAAAAAGCTTTTACTCTGTAAGTGTCCATAAAAAATTCATAGAAAGCTCCAAAATGATTTTATAGAAAAACTTCCTGTGGAAGCTTTTACTCTGTAAGTGTCCATATAAAATCTATAGAAAGCTCTAGAAAGCTTTTTTTTCAGTATATGTTTTGGAAACGACCGATTTTAGAGCACGCTTCATTTTGCCGACTGAGTCGCTAAAAATACATTGCAACGCATCGGTTAGCCAGAATAGTTTCAGCAACTTTGGGAACCTGCGCCACAGCAGGGTTAATTTTTCCCCTAATAAATGAAAGGACCACAAAAGCAAGCACTATGCTAAGTTTATTCGCTTACTAATTACAATTAAAACAAATTACCATCAAGGGGAAATGCGTTCTCTATTTACCAAGCTATCACTTGCCTACTTCATTAGCTATGTAAATACGGCGGACCTACATGCAGATATTATATTTACTCTTCTACATATTGCTAATGAAGTTATGACATGACACCAAGAGCTGTATGAATAGAATCCTTTTAAACAGAGGGCAAAAAGTAGTTTTCATATTAAAAATAAAAATGCTCTACCACAGAGTAGTCATATTGCTGTTAACCATTGAGCGCCGAACAACTGCCAACTACGCATATAACTTCACCGTTTGGAGCGCAACGCTAACAGCTCGGCACACTAACTGGCTTGTAACACAAAAAGCATGCGAAATTGCCAAAAAATACGATTCGTACATTGATCTGGTGTACTCCAGTGTGCGGTCAGACAAATCAGCATTTGGTTTGGACTTCAATTTATTGAAGTGTATGTCCGAATTACCCACATACATATTGGATATTGGGCGCAGTCAAACAAAGAACGCTAGCGCGTATATAACAGTTTCAGCCTCTTTGTGTTACCAACTTTCGCGGCGGCAGCAGACCCTTCGACGTCGGTGTATCTACAACGCATTTTGAGTATTTTGAATGCGAAGCAAACGCGTAAACATTTCCACAAATACATATTCATATGGCGCGATGTAAAGCTGGAACAGCTGCGTGCGCTTTTCGAAGCCATGTGGCAGCACAATCAAATATTGAATGCAATTGTATTCACTGACCATCGGCCAATCTACACATTTGAGCCCTTAACGCCGCAGGGGTTTGCAGTGAAATGCATCACAGATGACGAATATTTCTACAAGTTGAAGAATCTACATCTAGTAGATGAGCTACGCATAGCAATGTTCAAGGAGTTTTTACCCGCCGATGCCACAGCTGGGCTACACAGGCGTGGATGGGCTGCTCGCGAGCGTCTGTATATGCAGCCAGCTATTAATGAATATTACGGCGCTTGCACGCGTTTGGTTTTCGTGGCAGACCGGTTTCCCGATAGTGCCACGTATTTCTTCTAGTTTCTGGTTTTTATAACCGAGCGCACTTGTGCACATGGGTATAATAACTTTGTTCACGTAACGGTTGTTTGTAACAGGCAAAACGAATCGAGATTGATAAAGACAAATGTATAAATAAATGATCAGAATGAAAAGAGAAATCGATTAAGCGGTGACTGTCTGTCCGTCCGTCCGTCCATCCGTCTGTCCGTCTGTTCACTCGATAACTCGAGTAAAAATTGAGATATCTTAACGAAACTTGGTATGTGCACTTCTTTCGGGCGTAGGACGGATGGTATTGAAAATAGGCAAAATCGGACAATAACCACGCCTACCTCCCATATAACGGTAGTTTTCAGAAATACGAATACTGCGATATTTTAGTAACTACTGAAGATTATTCACTCAAAATTGATATTTACAATAATTTTTAGACGAAAAATAAGAATATTATAAATTTTTGGAAAGTGGAGGTATATTTATATTTTTTTGTTTTATTTTTTATTTTTATATTTTATTTTTATTTTTTATTTTTATTTTTTATTTTTATTTTTTATTT